CCCATCCGTGACGTCATCCTCGCCTCGCCCCAAGACGTATGTGTGCGGCCTGGGGGGAAGCCTGAAAGGCGAGGATGACGTAACGAAAGGGGATGGGTTTGCTAGGGGCCAGTTAGGCCGCGCCCGACACAGGTCACTCTCGCCTCGGGGTGTCCCTCCCGCGTTTTTCCCGGCGGAGCCGGGTGAAATTCCGTGCCCGCCGGTGACTGGCTGATTGACTCACTGATTGACTGACTGATTGACTGACTGATTGACTGACTGACTGACTGACTGGTTGACTGACTGATTGACTGATTGACTGACTGATTGACTGACTGAACGTCAGGAGGGCACCTTGAACAACACATTTCAAACCGCCCGCGGGCGCGCAACCGCAACTGGGCGACAAATTTCAACCCGTCCGCGGGCGCGCAACCGCAACCGCAACTGGGCGACACATTTCCACCCGCCCGCGGGCGCGCAACCGCAACCGCACCTGGGCGACACATTTCAACCCGCCCGCGGGCGCGCAATCGCAACTGGGCGACACATTTCAACCCGCCCGCGGGCGCGCAACCGCAACCGCAGCTGGGCGACACATTTCGACCCGCCCTCGGGCGCGCAACCGCAACCGCAATTGGGCGACACATTTCAACCCGCCCGCGGGCGCGCAACCGCACCGCACCTGAGCGACACATTTCGACCCGCCCCGCGGGCGCGGAAGCCCAACTGGGCGACCACATTTCAATCCGCCCGCCCGCGCGCACCGCCCCAACTGGGAGCCTCGTTTCAAACCGCCGCGGCGCGCAACTTCAACTGGGCGAAAACATTTCGACCCGCCCTCGGGCACGCAACCGCAACCGGGCACGCAACCGCAATCGCACCTGGGCGACACATTTCAACCCGCCCGCGGGCGCGCAAAAAACCGCACCTGGCGACACATTTCAAACCGCCCGCGGGCGCGCAACCGCAACCGCACTGTGCGACACATTTCGACCCGCCGCGGGCGCGCGACCGGCAACCGCAACTGGGCGACACATTTCAACCCGCCCGCGGGCGCGCAACCGCAACCGCAATTGGGCGACACATTTCAACCCGCCCGCGGGCGCGCAGCCGCAACCGCACCTGATCGACACATTTCAATCCGCCCGCGGGCGCGCAACTGCAACCGCCATTGGGCGACAACCCGCCCGCGGGCGCGCAACCGCAACCGCACCTGGGCGACACATTTCAAACCGCCCGCGGGCGCGCAAAAGGCAATTACGCGACACATTTCGACCCGCCCGCGGGCGCGCAACCGCAACCGCGACTGGGCGACACATTTCAATCCGCCTGCGGGCGCGCAACCGCAACCGCAACTGGGCGACACATTTCAACCCGCCCGCGGGCGCGCAACCGCAAGTGGGCACACATTTCAACCCGCCCGCGGGCGCGCGACCGCAACCGCAGCTGGGCGACACATTTCAACCCGCCCGCGGGCGCGCAATTGCAACCGCACCGCTCACCTGCCGTCCTCCTCCAGGGGATCTGAGGCGGAGGAAGGGTTGGAGGGAGGTGGGAGGGAGGGGGGAGGGAGGGGGGAGGGAAAATGGAGGCGGGAGGGAGGAGGAAGTAGGGGGAGGGAGAGGAGACGGAGGGAGGGTAGAGAGCTCACGATGATTGGGGGCGGATAACATCTGCCCCCCCCGTTCCACGCAAGTGGATCTCCACAAGGCTCCAGACCCTGGATTCCTTATCCAAGGCCTCCACGGTCTGCTAGCGGGATGGGTGGGTTAACCGCCCCCGAGGGGGGAGACGAGGCTTTGACAGAAACGGCCCGTTGCACCGTGTAGTTTGAAGTTGGGGGGGGCGATGCCGCGGGGATCGATTGCGCGTTCACCCGCGCGCAAGCTGCACGCGGATGTAGGTGCGTCGGCGCTGTCTTATTCATGCAGCCTGCCGCGTCTTATCCATGATTTGGTGCAGGAGCAGGTGGAGGAGGACGGGGAGGAGGACGAGGAGGAGGTAAGGGAGGAGGAGGAGGAGCAGCAGGACGAGGAGGATGAGGAGGAGGAGGAGCGGCAGGACGAGGAGGAGGAGGAGGAGGAGGAGGAGGAGGAGGAGGAGGAATAGGATGGCCAGGAGGAGGAGGACGATGGGGAGGGGGATGCGTGGTGCTGCTTGAGATGGTGCACGATCAGGTGCTTGTTGCGGAGGACTGACGAGGATGAGGTGGTGGACGTCGAGGAGGATGGAGGTGGATGTCCTCCTCGCGGCCTCCAGGCGTGACCCGCGGTTCTCCGCCGGGACATTGCAGCGGGGAGTCCCCGTTCCACGCTGCTGCCTCTGATTCGCTCCTTTTGGGCCTCCGGGCGGCCTCTCGTCGCCGCGGCTGGGTTGTCCAAGAGGCTTCATTCGTTCCGCCGACTTCCAGACGAGGACCTGTGTGGCTTCCGATTTCGGGTGTGCTGTTCGACTCCCCGTCGTGTTGCTGATTCGTCCTCCTCTTTCTCCGCGTGTGTTGCGCCCTCTTGTTGTCCAGGTGAATGCTTTTCTGGCGTCTTTGGGGCCTCCTGGGCCGTTTTGGGGCCCTCTTGGGGCCCTCTTGGGTTGTCTCCGTCTTCGAAGCATCTTGGGTCGTCCTGGGGCAGTCTAGGGGGCCTCTCGCGCCGTTGAGGGCTTGCAGACGCCCGCGCAGGCGAAAACGCGAAAATCATTTAACGACCTATGGCAAATCAATGGTATATGCCGATTGAGTCCCTCTTGGGGGTCCTCCTCCGATGTCTCGAAGCTATCTTGTCTTCGTCGCTCCTGAAGCTTCTGTGGCGCGTGGGAGCCTTTTCGGGGCCATTTCGAGGGTTGACGGAGGGTTGACTTTGAGGTTCCGGAGGCCCCGAAAGTGCGCAGGGGAGCTCATTCTCCCCCCCCCCCTCCCCCCCCATCCTCCGTTCCCTCCCTCCAGCCCCCGCCCCCTCATACGGCACTTCGGACCTTGGGGAAGGGGGAAGGCGAGAGGGGTGACAGCCAGTCATCTCACGCGCCTTAGGGGGCGTCGGCGGGTTCTGGTCAGAACGCGTCCCTAGAGACGCCCAGGGGCGGATTAGTGACTCTTTCCTGATGCCGTCCCAGGCCGTCTCCATAGCCGCTCGCGCTGCATCAAGAAATCACCACGCAAGGCTTGCCAGTCTTCGCTCCCCCCGGGCCCTTCTCGAGCCCCGTGGCCGTAGCAAAAGCACGGCTTGGGGTGAAGAGTTATCCCCAGGGAACCTGTCGAGGCTCTCGGCGATCCACGTTGTGCAAAAATCGCGACGTCGGGTTCGGGGGGTGGGGGGGGGACGGAACGAGGATCGAGGTTCAAGGTTTTTAGGCGTTGTCTGCCTCCAGAGGCCTCTCTGGGCACCTCTTGGGATCTCCGCGGCGCACAGGCCAGGTGGACTTCGCTTGGTACACCGGCAAAAGTACGTATCCATATCCACCGCTTCGGAGTCGCCACCCCGGCGGATGGGCGTGCGTTCATAGCTGTCTGCCGCTCCCCCAGGGCCCTGAATATGTGGCTACGGACGTTCCTTCATGGTGCCTGTTGAGGGCGGGAGGGGAGGGAGGGATAGTTCTAATTGTTGGCCTCCACGGGCCTCGCCCTCGCCTTCTTCTTCTTCGTCTTACTTGTGTTTTTATTCTTACTAATTATTAGTAACATTATTGTTATTACTAGCATTATTATTATTATTATTTATTATTATTATTATTAGTATCGCTATTGCTATTCGTATTATTACGATTCGTCTTCTTCTTCTTTTTATTATTATTCGTATTCGATATTTTTTATATTCATTATTATTTCTACTACTATTACTATTATTACTCTTATTCTTCTTAGTAGTATTTTTATTCATACTATGATTATTACTATTCTCATTTTTACCATTATTATTCTAATTATCATTATTATTCGTATTACTATTGTGGTTATTATTATTATTGCTATGATTATCATTAATATTATTATTATTATTATTATTACTATTACTATTATTATTATTATTATGATTATTACTATCATTATTATTTTCTTATTCTTCTTGTTCTTTTTCCCCTCCTCCTCCTCTTCCTCCTCCTCCTCCTCGTCCTCCTGGCGCAGTGAGGGAGCGTTCTGTGCCCGCACGCCTGCGCACACTCCGAGCTCCACGAGCGGCGCGACGACCAAGTAGGGCCCGGCGCCGCCCAGCCTGCCAGCCGCCCCAGCCGCCCACCCAGGCCGCCCCTCCGGCGCGCCCAGCGCGCCGGCTTTCCTGCCAGCGCGTCGGCGGCCGCATCGCGCCCCACGGCGGTGCGAAGCTTCCGAGAGGTGGCGCGGTGAAGCGCCACGCTCAGCTCGGCCCCCCAGCGCTGCGCCAGCGCGCTGGCGGCCGCCTCCGCTGCGGGGCCGTCCCCGAGGCCGCGGCCCGGCGCCCACCCGCGCCAGCCAGCGGAGGTGCCGGGAGCGCTGTCTGGCCGTGCGCTCCCCTGTTGCCAGCACCAGCGGGAGCAGCGGCCAGGGAGGTGTGCCGGACGCCAGCGCCGTTCGTCCGCCTCGGCGTCGGCTTCGACGGCGCAGGGCGCGCGGCTGCCCCCTGGGGCGCTGTGGCGGACTGGACTTCGCGTGCAGCCCGAGGCAGTCCTGTCGCTGGGCCTCCAGTTCCGGGGAGAGCCCCTTCCCGCTCCACCCGTCGGGTGTTGCTGGAGGTGCCCCTGGCCCAAGGTGCCCCCAGTTTTTCGCACCATTTTGGAGCTCCTGGGGCCCGCTGGGCCCGAGAACCCTGGGGGTACCTTGGGCCAGGGGTACTTCTAATTAGCAGCACCCGAGCCTGGAGTGCCGCCCCGCAGGTGGCGCAGGGCCCCGTCTCCAGGTCCGCCAGCCCCGCCACGCCGCTTGCGCTGGGGCCGGGCCAGGCTCTGCGCCCCGGCGGCCGCCCACCGAGCTCGGCACGAGCGAGCTGGGTACGGAAACCGCGGGCACGATGCTCAACAGCAGTCCCGGTTCAGTTTGAACAGACTCGCTGTCCGCGCCGCCGCGGACGTTGTTCCCTTGAGATCGGGGATGGACAGACCTCCTACCCTGACACGTCGATTAAGGAACTGGCCGTTTTCGGTTCGCGAGAGGGCGTCGCGGCCGTCATTTCTGCGGGTTGGCTGCTTCCTTCCTTGCTTGCGCGTCGGCCGGCGGTCCGGCCTCCTCCCTTCAGTGTTATACCTGTTGCATGCTTAACACGGCACTGCCTTATTTTGCCCATACTTTCTGTGAAGCTCATTGACTATGAGACATCATCAGGACATTTCGCAAGGATAATGAATCTCCAGGCGAAAGACTCACATGGGCAGCACCGTGTATATCGCACGGCATGTGATGCAACGCGTTGGCTGCATCACGTAGATCGCACCGAACGTATGATCCCCATATAGCAGCGCGGACGAATAACACCAACAATGTCGCACCATATAGATCGTGCTACACGCATACTGCTACACTTGTACTGCACGACGTGTGTGCACATATGTACATACCCCTGCATGTGTGTGGTACGCGTAGTGTGCGCATTTCAAAAAATGTGTTGATTGGGGTCTTGTTGTGGTCAAAACACGTGATTGACGCTTCGCGTGTCCCCTACCAGCCCATCCAGAAACAATGCCCAGGCGAGTTGAGGTAATCAAAGAAACATGGGAGCAAAAAAGGGGGTATCGGCTAACGCTCGAAGGAAAGAGGAATGGATGAGGGATGAGGGAGGCGGGAAAAGGAGGAGTCATTGGCGGATGAGGAGGGGGAACATGAGGAGGAGGAGGAGGGCGAACATGAGGAACATACGCTTCTTGGATGCGTTTCGGAGTTTCTCGGGATATCTCTTGGGCGTTCTGTGGAGGCCTCTTGGGGCGTCTTGGGGGCCTGTCCTGGCGGTCCTGGGGGCCTCTTTGGGCATAGTTTGGTGCCTCTTGGGTGGGGGGGCTCTTGGGGCCTGCTTGGGGCCGCCGAAAGAGCCTCTCAGTGGTTTCTTGCGGGCCTTTTGGGGCCTCTTGGGCGCTTTTTGAGGCAATACAGTGGCTCTTTGAAAGGCTTTGGATGCTTTTCTGGGGCCATCTTGGACGACATCGATCTCGGAAGTGGGGGGCCTCAATCAGCGTGGCCCCTCTTGAGCTCCAAAGCCGTCTCGTGGGGCGCTCTTGGGCTTTATTGGGGTTGTCTTGGAGCCATATTTGGCCTCTCTTGGAGACTTTTTAGGCCACCGTGGAGCCATCTTGGGGCTTTAGAACCCCATCGGGGGCGAACGGGCGAGAAGGCACGCGTCATTCATGTTCTTTAGGTTTGCGGAAGGGTTTGGGTTTCTCGTGGGCCTCATTGAACATTTTTGTTGCCAATTTGACCCATGTTGGGGCCATCGTGGTGTTTCTTGGAGGCATATTGGAGGCCGTTTTGGATTCTTTGTGGCAGGCTTGCGCCATATTCGCAGCTACGTTACAGCATCTGGGGTCGCCTTGGAGCCCTATTGCGCCCAAAGGCTCCCGCAGAGAACCCCGACAAGCTAAACACAATCCAAACCTGTGTGTGTTATCAATGTGCGTGTTGATCAAAGATGGGGGAGTCAGTTAGCGCTGCCCGTCTATAGTTCCTAAGATCGCCTCTTGGGGCACTCTTTGGGCGCTCCTGGGGCTGTCTCGGAGGCCTCTTGGGTCCCTCTTGGGCCTCTCTTGGGCCCTCTTGGAGCCATCTTGAGGTATAGGCTATCGGAAGCGAGCCTGCGAGAAGGGCAAACTCATTGATTTGATCAAGGTTTGAGAAGGATTGTGTCCTCGTGGGGGCGCCTGGCGAAGCCCCAAGGCCACTTGCATCCGTCTTAGAGCGGCAAGATCTCTTGGAGGCCATCTTGCGGCCATCTCGGAGCCCTCTTGGGCCAAAAGCCTCCCAAATATACCTCCGAAAAGCAAACCTCCTTTCAAGCCAACGTGGTGTTCAAAGTATGTGTTGATCACACAGAGGGGGTAATTTGCCCTGCACCGAGAGCCCCTATACTCGCCTCTTGGGGCCCTCCTACTGTCTTGGAGCCCTCCTGGGCCCTGGGCCATCTCGGAACCTTCTTGAGGCTTCCCGGAAGCGACACGGCGAAAAGTCAAACAACACCGATTACATTTAGGTTTGGAAAGATTGTGGCCTATTGGGGGCGTCCTCTGGAGGCCCCAAAGCCATTTGAACCCGTCTTGGGGCGATTGAAGCATATTGGAAACACATTGAGCTATCTTCACCCACCCTGGATGTCATCTTGGGCTCTCTGAGGCCATCTTGGAGCCATCTTGGGCCATCTTGGACGCTCCAGCGCCTCCCCGCCCCCCCGTCCAGACCCAGGGGGGAGAGGGGGAGAGGGAGGGGTAAACCCATCCACAAAGGGGAAAAATGACGATCGAAGTGCGAACGCTGTAGACCAGCTGCGCCCAGAAGCCTGGTGGGATTCTGGCCAGAGGGCCTCCGGCAGAGACATCCGAAAAGATCGTCAGTGGTTGGGCCTGTTCTGGATCCGA